CGGAACAACACACTAGAAACACCGCACAGAAGAGAATAAATGTATACATATAGAGTCTAGAATATACATATACATGATCCAGTCTGAACAGAGTTAAAGTGTACAAAAGAAATTACAATCAAATGCTACTATCACAAGTAGCTACACAGCAAAATAATCACAAAAGCAATCAGCTCCACGGGTCCACCGGAGACTCACCACCAGACACCCACCTATCCTTGCTCTGCTCCTATACATAGTATGATCATTTCAGTCCAACATCATGGAGACAACAAAAGGGTAAGCTAGTGTAATTAAAATTCAACATACAATTATATAAAAATATAAATAACAACAGATACAGTTATCAGCACACTTGTACAGCTTATACCACTCAACAATATCAGCACCGCAATGCGGCAGTATCAGCACTGCTTAGCAGCAACAACAACACCACTCAAGTGGCTATAACGGCACCGCAAAGCGGCAACAACAGCACCGCCTTAGAGGTTAGAACAACACCACATATGTGGCTAATAACAGCACCGACTTAGCGGCTATAATCTCATGAAGCTCAGCATAGCACAGCACAGCAGCATAACACAGCACAACGATTTCACACAATTATTATTTTCCACAATTCAACCCAACAGTCTATAATTCCGCTATACTATAGAATTTTACATATTAATCCATCGATTCCAGCCCAACAATACACCTCTAATATAGCTAAACGTATTTATCTCCACTTTATCTCCTAGTCATCACAACATATTCATCAAATACAACTTGGTTCAGCATATAACGTCATTGATTAACAATCTCTGCACAATTCAACAGCCTACATCATATATGTCATCATCTCCTTTCGCGCCCGGCGCACTCGAGGTCGCGCCCAGCGCGGCTTAACCCGAGAGCACCAGGGCCAGCGCGTCCAGCGCAGGAGTACTCGCGCCCAGCGAGACTCAACCCGAGAGCACCAAGGCTCTCCCGCGCCCGGCGCAATTCCAAATTGCGCCCAGCGCCTGCCTGGCAGAGACTCAAGGAATCTCGTGTGCTCAGCGGGGCCTAACCCGCGCCCAGCGGGGGAAAAGGCAGAGACCTACCAGGGTCTCGTGCCCGGCGCAATTCGTATTGCGCCCGGTGTGCTCTTGGCAGAGACTCCCAAAGAGCCTCCGCGCCCAGCGAGTCCAAACGTGCGCCTAGCGCGGCACCAAGTATCCCAAAACATGTTACTCTTGATATCGCGCCCAGCGCAGATCGTGTCACGCCCGACGCGGGCCAACCAAAGACTCCCATTTGCAAGCTCGCCCAACGCACACAGCCTTGCACCCGGAGGGCTTGCCTAAATAGAGTCTCCTGGTGGTCGCGCGCCCGGCGCGAAGAACAACGCCTAGCGCGAACTCATCAGTAACTCTCCCCAAGTTCAAAAATTGCTCAAAACCTGCAAATCTTAACAGAAAAACCACATGCAAACGGTTCATAGTGTCACATTTTCACCAAGGAGTTCGAAAGTATCAGCTTTTTGTGCATGCAACAACAATTCAAAGCAAATCCCAAACTTTGACTTAAAACCACAAAACCCCCAAAAACCCCAATTTTTCAGCATGCTCAGCCATACACAGTAAAACCCCAACAGCCAAAAGGGTTCATAAACCCGTTTTCCAGCCAAAACGCAGCAAAATACTAACTTCCCTTACCTCGGTGAAGAAATCCGAGCTTCCGGGAAGAGACGATTGAGGAACGAAGAAGAGAGAAGAGTCGGAGAAGAAGAGGAACCCCCAAATGTTCAGCTAGCAACCTTAATCACTCCACACCACCACCTTGAATCCAAGAAACCAAAGTGAAATCAGCCAAAATGAGAATGGAGGGAGAAAAGATAGTGAAAGGGAGAGTTAGAGTGAGAGTTGGAGGAGGAGTGTGGTCAGCTAAGGGTAGGATCTCACAAATGTTGTTTAGCTGACAATTTATATTATATATTTGACATTTATTGGATTATTGTATTTATGCTAATTTATATTTGTATAGTTATTTATACTTATATACACACACTATATGACACATATTCAAATAATTGTATATATATAATTTCAAGTATTTAAAGTTAATTATAATTTTAAAGTCATTTTGTTGCTAATTATAATTTTAAATAATGTAATGAACATAATGTTTCATTAAAAAAAAAAATAAACTTATACAAAATGATATAAAATTCATGTTATACTCAACAAATTGATATATATCTCATTCATAACATAAAAGTTTCTTTGTAAATTAAGGTAAAGATTATTTTTCAATTTAATTAATTATTACATTATGTTGTTATAGTTACTTTGATTCTAATTAATACCTAGAGATAAATAAAAAAGTGTGAGAGAATAAAGTAAATAAAAGTGTAAATAAGTAATATAATATAAGAAAAAAAAGACAAATAAAATATATTAGTGACATAGACTATCAAATATTTACATATAGAAGGATACATAAAATTTGTTTATATATAAGTTTATAAATATTTTCAAATTTTTTTATTAAAAAATACTTTTTATTTTCTATAAAAAAGTTCTTAAAAATATTTTTAACTTATACCCAAACTGACTAATATTTATCATGTAAATTTATTTATATTATTATTCAATTGTAAATTATCAAGATAGCATATTTAATTATTTTTGATAATATTTATCTTTAAAATTATACTATTTTTTTTTATATATATATATATATATGCAACAGAAAATTTCCTTTAAACTCAATGTTCACATATCACTACTCAAAAGTTTGTAAACACAAATACAACAATATTTCAATAAAGGCATACTAATAACTTTTTTCTTTAGACATCTAACACTTAATTCACATATACGAGTTTTTCTTTACCTAAATTTTAAAGCAACTAATTAATTGGTTTAGTTAGGTGATCAAGTTAATAAAGTTGGACTCAACTAATAAACACTCCCAATTAAAGCAATAAACGAGAGATATCAACAATATATTAACACTTATAAATATATTTTTAAATGAATAAAGAAATAAATTATTTTTTAATTCCCATGTTATAATTTTAAAAAGAAAAATAAAAAAGAAATGGATGAATTATTTGTACTTTTAATTTTTATATCAAAATAACTAAATATTTTTCCTAATTAATCATTTAACCACTAATTTACTAATAAATCGTGAGTAATATTTAAAGTATTATAAATGAAAAACATATGATTAAAACGAAATTTTATTAAAAGTGATCAATAAATATTAATTGTCATCAATATCAATAGGTATTTCTAATTAATAATATGATTATTAAAAATATATTATTATTAATTTTATTACCGATATTCAAACCTATTTAATCGATATTCAACATAACAAATACTTAAAATTTATCATAAAATATTTTTTAAAATCATAAATATAAACATTTTAATATATATATATATATATATATATATATATTTTAATAAAATAAGTTTTGTTTTTATATATATATATATATATATATATATATATTTTAATAAAATAAGTTTTGTCATAGTTTGGTATCTTACATGGAATGCACCGTGACCTTATCTTTTTTCTTTATTTGCACAAAAGAAAGTGTCTGAATAGTGTCGTCACCCAAAAGCGAGGTTCTTTAGTGGATACTTGCGGCATTACAACAAAATCAGACCAAAAGGCAAGAGCATTATACGTTTTTTTTTTTTTTACTGAAGTATCCACCGCCTAATCCCCTCGCTATGTTGGAGACATCTCAAAATGTGAGATAACTAGCCCCAAAATTTAACGCAGTTGCACCAAAAGTATTATACTTAATACTTTCTACTAATTTTTTCTTAATTCTCTTTATATATTAATAATTGAAACTTATTTAAAATTATATTTTTTTGCGACTTTGCACTTTTTTTACCATATTATACTTTGCATTTTATTTAATAATATATGATAGATAATCATCAATTTAGTTTTAATTTTTTAAAGTAATCAAATTTTTAAGCTATATACATAATTCTCAAATATATTTAATATTTATTGGAAGTATATTTTAGTAATTTTACTATCTCTTTCTTGTATACGTTGATATTTAAGGTTAATTCATATAGATTAAGGAATATTTTATAAACAAATTTAGATCGAAAAAAGTTCGTTTACATTATTATAATAATAAAATATTTTATTTTATTTTTATCTCAACTATAGTAGCTATTAAATACGAATATAATTAAAAAAAAATTTAATATAACTTTTTCTTTACCTGTAAATTTGTTGGACTTTAAAATTTTAAAGCTTCAATTGTTTTGAGATTAAAAAGAAATAGGCTAAAACATCTAAAGATATGAGAAGAAAGTAATATCAATGTTTATTTTTTTTTTAATGAAAAAGTTTACATGAATCTCAAGTTCACCATAAAATCAATGTTTAATGATACATTTGAAGAGTTTTTCAATATCTTAGAAACTATTATTTAACTTTATTTCTAATATTTATTATCTATAACTATAATAAAAGAAACTGAACGTATTAGTCTACATAATTTTTGTCTAATTTTATTTTTATATTTTTTTACAAATTAAAATTTATTATTATTTTTCATAAATTTTACTCTATAATCTCCTATATATTTAATTAATCACTTACTATTACATTATTTTATAAAAAAAATTCATAAATATACAATCTAAAACAACTTGATGTTAATTAATTCACGTGTTTCATCAAGACTATTTAAATAAGAGGGTAAATGAAAATGAGAATATTTAAACTAAAACAATTTAATACGAGAATGATGTACATATTGTATTGTAAAAAAAAAAAAAATGAGACACGAGGCTTAATTTTTTTAATCAGTGAGTTATTTGTAAATTGTACGGAGTATTTCTTATCGAGGAAGTAATGTAGCGAGTGTTAGAATACCCGTTCTGTGATACACTTGTTGATGACGTGTCTCCAGCAGAAAGCACCACGTGTAACGACAAAACATAGATGGAATCTAAGGAGCAGGTACCACCGTGTTTTTTTGCCCACTTCCTTCCATCAAATGAAATTCCTGAATTTCACACAGCAAAAGGAAAATGCGCCATACGCAAAACCCTAACCATTTTTTGATTTCGTTTTAGACCCACCAAACCAATCATTCACTCACTACCCTCAATTCCTCTCTTAACTTATTTGTCTTTCATTTTTCTCCTAAAGTCACTTCCTTTCGCCTTTTTTCTCTTCTGGGTACGTCTTCACTACTCTTTTTATTTTCCCTCTTTGCTTCAATTCACCTTCTTCCCTTCTGATCTCTAACTCCCACCTTTTTCTTTCTTAAATTGTTTCCACCACTTACGTGCTCAATCCGTTAGATCAGTGTTCACTTCTTTTTTTTTTTTTTTTGTTGATTTAAATTTGATCTAATTGGTGTTTCTTTGGTTGGTTGCAGAAAGTCACTCTTTTTCCACAAGGGTGTGTGTTTTTTCTGTGTCGTGTAAATTTGCAGGTGAAGAAGGCCCTCTTTGGGTACGGTGATTTTGTGGGGGGTGTGATTAGTTCTCTTCTGATGTTTTATTTCCAATCACTGTTTCAATCATCACCTGCTAATTTTCTGTCACTTAGGCCTCCTTTCTCCTACTCAATTTCCCATGTTTTTCTCCCCTCTGATGTGTTCTTCATATGCTGCTTCAATTGCCTGAGATTTCGTCTCAAAATTTGATGTTGTGTTCCAGAGGGGAGGTTCTGGTTGCTGTCACTGTGAATCACATCTAGTTTTCTTTGGTGAGGAGTAAGAAAGATAAAAGAGAAAGTAAGTGTGTGAGATAGAGTTTTGAGGATGGGAGAGCGTTGTAGACATTTTTCCATCGAGGAATTGCCATCACATTTGGTTTTAGAAATTCTCTGCTCAGGCAGGCTCAGCGCAGTGGACCTTGTTTGTTTTGAATTGACTTCCAAAACTTTTGGTGGTAGTCATGGTTTGTACCCTTTCAAGTTTAAGTCCTTGGTTGACTTTGCTGCATTTCAATTGTGTGCCTCCCATGTTACCTATTCTAGGATGGGTTTGAATTCTCAGAGGGAGTTGTATGATAGATGTGGTGGAAATTGGAAGCGAGTTTTGAGGTTCTTGCAGTCTGTGGAACAATCCTCTCAGATGGTCGAGACATCATCAGGCAATGTACTATTTCATCATATCAAATAATTACTCTTGTTTTGCTTTTGGTATAAAAAAAATAATGCTTTCCTAAGTGAATTATGAGTTGCCATTTTTTTAATATTTTGATCTTATGATACATTTCATGGCACCGACAAACATTATAATGATTTTTGACAACTGGGAACATTTTATTGACAAACATTATAATGATTTTCAAAGAAAAAATCTCACAATTTGGATTTTTTTCTCACCTGCATTTCCTTTTTAGTCTTTTTACTGGCCTTTCGAAGGAAAATTGTGGAGTTGGAAATAGTGATGAAAAAATTTTATTGGCAGATGCAAATAACAACTGGAAAGTATCACACCTTGTTGATCAGCAATTCTTCTGTCTATTCTTGTGGTTCTCATTTGTGTGGTGTACTTGGTCAAGGGCCTGAAACAACACAATGTGTAGCATTTACTCGGATTAATTTCCCACATTTGGCACGTGTGGTGCACGTTTCAGCCTCCTTTAACCATGCAGCTTTCGTTACGCAATCAGGAGAGGTTAGTGCTGGCTTAACCTTTATTAAGTAAGTTATGACTCATGAGCAAGTCATTAGTCTTGAACAAACTATATCTTGCTCTTGTTCTCATGTTGACTTATGCAGCAGCCTTAAGAATGGCAGAGATTTAATATAAACCATTAATATACTTGCACTTAGATTTTAAGCTTATGGGATAACTGGTTACATAACTTTTGAAACTAATGATCGTATAAGAATTAAGAGTTTGATACCTACCATCCGCTCTCTCTTGGCATAAGGTTTAGATAGGCTTCTCCTTTGTCCATTCATCAAGCTCAAAAGGCTTTTGCGCAGTGGTGGGAAGTGGGAACATATTAGAGATATAATTTAAACCATTCTGGGGCTAGCACTTACAAACGTAAGTTTGAGGATATTTCTGGTCAACGAAACAATTGTGCTTGTCTAAGAAATGTGTTTTTCACCTTAAATTGAAGAGTTTTACGGGAAGATGGGGATAGGATATCACAAGTTTCTTTCGTTTGACTCCTTTGCCATTCCAGTGCTTGTATTGTATTCATGAGCTGGTTCAATGTCACTTTGTTCTGGCAGGCTAGAGAGAGACATCGGGTGCTCTGAAAAAAAATTCATTTGGTTGTTGATTGTTGAATACAAGATACTCTGCATCCAATGTCCTGTTTAGACTTTGATTGACATTGTCATGAGGAGAGCTTTTATGTAACTTTTTCTTTAACCCTTTGTTTAAGTAGAAGTTGAGAAGAGAGAGTGGAAGAGAAAGAGTAGTTTTATGTTGTTTGTTTTAGAAGTAGAGTAGAGAGAAAAAAATAAAGTGTGGGTCCCACCTCAAAATCTCAATAATTAAAAGAGAAGGAAAAAGAAAATTGAGATGCTAATTTGTGGGACCCACTTAAAGTTACAGTTTTAACCTTATTTTTTCTAATCTACTTTTCATAAAATCTATTATATATTAAGGGCAAAAATGTCTTTATAAGAAAATTCATTTTGATTCTCTCCACTTTTCTATCCGACTAAATTAATGAAGAGAAAACTCATATTTTCTTTCTCTTATACTACTCTCTTATTTCTTTCATTCCAAACACCTTAAAAATCTATCCATTTTCTACTCATTCTTCCTTCCCTCCTACTTCTATGTATCCTATTTCTTTCATATTTCTCTCTTTATCCAAACAAAGCATTAGGGAATGTCAGGAAGATATTTTCGGCCTTTATATTAATTGGGTTTAATGGATATACACATTGAAATCTGTAATTTAATTACTTATCAAGCTTACTTCTAAACCTCTTTTATGCAATAAATTTTAAATGCTTGAATATAAATTTTCAGTAAAAAATGTTGGTAAAAGGGGTACAACTGTCATGCTTCTTTTATTAGAAATAAACAATGATTGGGCTGCAGGCTGATTTTTTTATTACAATCATCTGTTCCAACAATATGGCACATCTATTTAGTTTTAATAATGCAAAGAATAAAAGTTATCTAACTGGGATTTAGCTTGTCCTAAAACTTTAGTATAGTCTAAAACGTTACTCTAGTGGGTAGCCATTCATGAAAAATCGTGGGAGTTAGTTTAACAAAGCAAGCTTTGACAATCAAGTTACTTGTACTATTCAAAAATTCTATACTGTTGATTTTTTTCATTTAAACGTTAGTCACACTTTACTCTCATAAGTTCAGGGTGTAGATTTTTCTTCATATAGCCATTGCCCCCTTCACTTTCTAAATCACGTGTCATTCTTTCTTAATCATATAACTGGAACATATTTTACTTTGTAATACTATAAAAATTGTTTAAAGAAAGTTATTAACAGGTTGTGTTACTATTTCGCCACATCATAGTAAAATTTTGTAATGTATATCCATCTATTATGATGTTTCTTCAGCTGGTGTTCAGTTTCTGGAGAGCAAATGCAAATATTTGGAAATGATGTATGCAATAGTTTCACTCATTAATGTGTATGTATAGTTATGATGCTTTAATAGCAAAGTTTAGCTTATAAATCATAAAAGCTCTAAATACAATCCTAGGTCCATAAAATTTTATGCACGTTCCATACTGGTTATTCAGATCCATTGCTGATTTGTTTTCCTGATATCAAAAATGATGGTTTGAGAATGTAAAATGATTAATAATTGTTTCCATCCTAAGCTTGTGGCTTCACCTTTAACTAATGCAGGTATTCACGTGTGGAGATAATTCATCTTCTTGCTGTGGGCATAGAGATTCAAACCGACCAATTTTTAAGCCATGCCTTGTTGAAACCCTGAAGGGGATTCCTTGCAAACAGGTATGTAAATCATGATCATCGTAATATTATTTATAGATATTTGTTGGCTGAGTTGAAAGTTAATGGTTGGTAGCCTATTATATGTAATATTAATCTCGTGGTATGACCAGTATCACTCTTGTCTGATGAATGAATACCTCATCAGTCATCCCCAAGCTCACTTTTCTTCTATTATCTTTAGCTTTTCTGCCTTTAAATATGTTTTTGTCAACAGTTTTTCCATGAAGTCAGCAGTAAAGCATTTTGTTATTTTAGTTTCATACTGAGTTTATTGGGGGTTCCATTTAAAAGTGATTTTCCATGTAATTGAGACATTATGCGCTGTTACAAGTTAAAACTAGCAAATCTTATGTTGAGTATAAGATGTTCCACCAGTTTGCTATGATGTGCTGTTTTATATCTGTAATATTCCAATTTTTATTTGATGTCCATGAAGTACAAACTCTTTCAATTCTCAATTTTTAATTGTTCCCAAGAAGTTTGCTTTTGTAAGGTTCCCTTTAAAAGATAATGAAGCACATGAATGTCTCAGGTTGCAGCGGGGCTAAACTTCACAGTCTTCCTCACCAGACAAGGTCATGTTTATACATGTGGAACCAACACACATGGCCAACTTGGTCATGGTGACACTCAGGACAGACCAACCCCCAAAATGATTGAAGTCCTTAGTAATGTTGACCCTGTTGTTCAGATTGCTGCTGGACCCAGCTACATTTTAACCGTAACAGAAAATGGAACAGTATACTCCTTTGGATCAGGTGCTAATTTCTGTCTTGGCCATGGTGAGCAGCACAATGAGTTTCAACCACGTGCTATACAGAAATTCAGAAGGAAAGGTATTCATATTGTCCGTGTATCTGCTGGGGATGAGCATGCAGTGGCACTTGATTCAAATGGATTTGTGAGTTTCATTGGACCAGATATAATTCCAATTTTATTTGTTACCCTTGGTCTGGAACATTTAAAAGGGTTTGTGGGAATTACTAAGATTTTATTATTGATGGTCCAGGTATACACATGGGGCAAGGGATACTGTGGTGCTTTAGGCCATGGGGATGAGATTGAGAAAACAACTCCAGAGATGTTAACTAGTCTCAAGAATGAATTGGCTGTTCAGGTATTATGATAACCATAAGCTTGGTCAATCTGTGTCAAGATCAAATGGTTTACGATAAGAAAATGAACTCTTTGCAAATTGATTTCTGGATCAAGTCTTTGTTGTGATGAGACTGCATGCATAGTCCTATCATATTCATAGTCTAAGTGTTAATTGTTACTTGTAGGTCTGTGCAAGAAAGAGGAAAACATTTGTTCTAGTTGATTCTGGTTCAGTATATGGCTTTGGTTCAATGGGATTTGGAAGCCTCGGATTCCTGGATAGAAGGGTATCTGATAAAGTATTGAAACCTCGAATCTTAAATACCTTGAGAGGTCACCATGTTTCTCAAATTAGCACTGGCTTGTACCACACTGTTGTGATCACTAGCAGGGGACAGATATTTGGCTTTGGAGACAATGAAAGAGCACAACTTGGTCATGACACATTAAGAAGCTGCCTTGAACCAACTCAAATTCTCATTGAAGATAATACTTCTGAAGATGTAGAAACCATCTAAGGCTCCAAAGGCAATCACCTCTTTTATGTGTGGTTCTGGTATATCAGTTACCCAACTTTTCTAGAATCATATTGAGCACTACTGATTCTATATATCTATATCTATATATATATATATATAT